GTGTGATGAACTAACCGGAGATGTCTGTGGCCTCTCCAAACGGAGAGCGGACATGTTGTTCAGCACCACACTTGGAGAACTGAGAAGACTGAAGAGGTCTTGGAGGCACGGACGGGCCTGTGTGGCTGGAGGTTGGCCACAGGATGGACCCATCCAGGATAAAGGACAAGGTGGGACAACTCTCAAGTCAGGTCATTCCAAACTGGCCCAAGAAAATTAAACTCAAACTCGTTAAGGCAAAAACACAAACCTTGGATTTAGAGCCTGTTTAAATATACCCAAGGTCAAAGACACACGTTTCCTGGCGAGCCTTTTCTCTCCATGGTAGAGGTTGGATGTGTGTGTGAAAGCAATGAGAGGGACCACATAGAGAGCAGATCTTGGAGACTGAGGGGCTACATGGAGGAAGACAATTATGAACACACTGTCTCCAGGAAAACAGTTCATTTACACAGTAGATTTGACAGCTCAAGTTGCTTCTTGGCAGAGCAGTCCTGCCTGGCCCCCACGCGACCTGGTGAGCTTCGATTATAGCCTCGATGCTGGTGCAACCACAGAGACCCCCTAAAAGGGGAGTGATGAATGAGGTCCTGTCAGGCTTCATTCCCTGGGTGGCCTTGAATCTCTGCCGTTATCTGTTACCCTGCCAGTGCTGACAGTGATGAACACGAGGCAGGCAGCTAACGACACCCCGATTCATTACCCAGAAAGAAGGGAGAGCAGAAATAAAGGGAAGGTGACTGCCACGCAGAAGCTTTCCACATCAGCGCTGTCTTCCTCCTGCAGGTGTGAATGGAGAAGAAGAAGTGATGGAGCCCTTTTGTCTCATACAAGGACTCTAATGGTACCCACACAGAACAGTTCTCAAGGAAGCCAGCTGGGAAGGCCCAACACCAGCCTCAGCAGGGTAAAGTTCTTCACAAGACTTAGGAATAAAAGAGATGTTTAGCAGCTTACTTTTTAACCCACTATGACTGTAGCAAAACAAAAAATAAAAGGCACCTAAAAATCATCAACCTGTACAGCCTTCCCAACTTAAATTGTTTGTTATCTGTTTTAGGAGAGTGCACTCTCTTTCCCTAAGACTATATTAGACTTATGGCACCACACTAGCGAACAGTTAAGTAGGCTTAGCCATTGCTTCCAATTATAGACATTTCATTGTTAAAGTGGTACTTGGTTCTTCCCTAAAAAGATCAAGATTTTTGTTTCAACTCATTTTTTTCTAACCTAGTGAAGAATGAAGGCTTCTACTTCATTGTCTCCTTTTTCTTATTAATGGGACGTCTCATGATGCCTAAAGACATGAAGCATGTTCAACAAATGCATCTTGAATTTAATGCTCAAAGAAGACAAGTTTGTCTGTCTAATCCAATCCATCTTAATCCAGAATGTCAATCAGAGAACTATTCTACAAGGCACCAAGAATTGTCCTCTCTCTCTCTCTCTCTCTCTCTCTCTCTCTCTCTCTCTCTCTCGTGAATGTGTGTGTGTCTGTGTCTGTGTATCTGTGTGTCTGTCTCTGTCTCTGTGCCTGTCTGGCTGTGTCTATATTTCTGTCTCTCTCTGTCTCTCTCTGTCTGTGTGTGTGTGTGTGTGTGTGTGTGTGTCTGTCTGTCTGTCTGTCTATGTTTCTGTCTATGTCTGTGTCTACATATGTTACTGGAGACTGAAGGCAAGGCTTTGTGCATGCCAGACAAGTGGTCTATATGGTTAAGCAAGGTTTTCAGCCAGGACACGTGTTTTTAACAAAAAGAAAGTTCCACAGTCAAATGGATTTGAAGAGTCTATAATCAAGTCTAGCAGGTGCCTTTCACACCATGTTTTTTTAGAATCTTTAACATACTAAAGTATATTTTGATGTTCCTAAAGCAAATATAATCCATAATATTTTAATCTGTTTTCTTAGACACATAATACTTTTGTGCAATATATATTTACCCTGCTGTTACAAAGAACCATACTTTGGGAACAGGTAGTCTGAACAAATCCCATATTCTCACTCACTTACCTTAGCAATAAACTCAAGTGATCACAAAGATGTGGTCTAAGAATGTGGCAGACCAAGAGAGTTTGAGGGTAAAAATAAATGCTAAAGAAAACAGGGGAACTGAAGATGTACCTCAGTGGGTAGAGTGCTCACCTACCATATAGGAAGGCGGAAGTTCAATCCTCAGTACCACATAAAACCAGAGATGACATGTGTGCCTATCATCTGATCACTTGGGAGGTGGAAGAAAAGGGGAAATAAGCTCAAAGTCACCTCCACTACATAGCTGGTTCAAGGCCAACCTAGGCTACCAAAAAAGGGGTGTGAGAAAGACAAGAAAAGAAGAGTATGAGTAACCAAGGGGGTAAAAGTGCTTGCTTGCAAAAATTGTCCTCTGACCTCTAAACCTGATCCTGCCTATGCACACCCGAGAACACACACACCATACATACATACACACAAATAATAATAATAAATAATTTTTAAAAGGGGACATCGGAGGGAAGAAGAGGAAGTGGGCTTGTATATGAACAAGATACATTATATACTCATGTGTAAAAATGTCCAAGAATTGATTCTTTTAAAAATTAAATAAGAACATGGTACTAGCTCCCAAAGAATGCAAAAAACTAGCCCACAGACCTCCTTCCATACATTCTGACTTTTGTCCCTATTTTCAATGTTCTTTGTTGAAAAGAAAGCAGCAGGAGTTAAAGAAGCTACTGAAGGAAGAAGGGTAGTTTTCTTGGATTTGGGAAAAGGGCAAGTGAGGCAGCAAATACACGGATTTCATCCTTGCTTTTTGCTGAAGGCCAAATTGCCTTTCTAAGAGCAGTAGCACAAGACATCAACTGTTTCTCTGGGACAGCGTTCTCGATTTTCCTTTTACGTACATATGAATGGAAGTTGGTCAGACGTTCAGGACACTTAAAAACTACCATGTAGTTTTCTTAAGTGCCTAATGCAAAAGCAAGCACAAAAGGATGATATGGTGGTATTTTATTTGTACTGAAATGTGATTTTAATTGTATGTTAATAAATAAAGTTGCCCTGGGGTCAGAGCTATTAGAGCCATAGCAAGAGCATGGTGGTTAGAAGAGCTATGTAGATTTCTGTGTGTTCAGGGATACAGCCAGTATTGGAGACATACGCCTTTAAGACCTGGAGGGCGGTACTTACAGGCAGTGACGAGGCAGTCATGTGGTTGGGTTTACAACCAATGAGAAGGCAGAACAGAAAGACTATTTAAAGACAGACAAACAGGAAGTAGCTCTCTTTCGGGGAAGCTAGGAGCCCTGCAGGAGGTAAGATTTTAGCTCTGAGCTCTGACCTCTCAGCTTTCTCTTTTACATTGGTTGTGTGTTTCTTATTTTAATAAGACGGTTGGTTACATCTACAGGATGATTTACTCCAGTGCCCTAAGACATGCAGGCACCGTATGTTCCTTGTTATGTAAGAGGGTTGCGCATCAGAGGCCTTTTCATATAGGCTATTTGGCATCTTCTATCAAAGCGAGTCACTAGCTACATTCAAAATAACTTAGCTGAAGAAAGGTGATCCAAAAATCTAGAATTGAGCACAAACAAGACGAGATGTGAACCACCTACCTTTGATGACCAGTGTTCATTGCTTAAGCTGCAAAGCAAGGAAAAACAGCGGACAAATTAAAAGCACACCAAAAACCAAACACTCTAAGTAGTGTGTTTAAGTCAAAAGGAGTGGGAAAATGCAACACTGGGGTGTAGAACTTTCAGCCTCTCCTAACTCTTCATCTTTAACAAGCAATCAGGGTTAAGTTGGGAGAACCAACAGTCTAAGAACTAATGTAACATCTGAGAGAAATAAAACCATCATCATGAATTAGAAAAGGACCATCATTCATTTTTTCTGCTGCTTTCTCTGCAGGAAAAGTCAG